CATTAAGCAGTATTATACGTGTTATGTCATTCGAGCGTGTGACTCATATGACTCGAAAACAGAACCATTATGACCATCGGTTTTTGGGTTGACGATTCGACTGTCTGGTTCAAACAGTTGACCTGTTCTGACAACAAAAATAAAATAAAAAATAAAAAAGGCCAAAAACCATTGAATGGGTCAACGAGTCGACGATTCGACCGCCCGAGTCAATGGGTCATTGACCAATTCAACAGTTCTTGGCCAGGGACCGGGATTAGGATAAAATGGAATCGGTTGCCTGGATGGTTCCCTATTAAAAAAATAAATAAATAAATGGCCAAAAACCATTGAACGGGTCAACGGGTTGACGGTTTGACCGCCCTGGTCAATGGGTCATTGACTGATTCAATGGTTTTTGGCTAGGTACTAGGATTGGGTAAAACAGAACAGGTTGCTTGGACGGTTCCCAGGCCGAAATGTCCGTTTGTCCGGGTCAACGGTAGTTCAAAAACCATGGTTTTTTATGCTTATGGTTTTTTACTATTCAAAGGTTTCTTCTACTGTGGGCTTTATTCGAGTGTGTGTGGTATGTTCCTTTTTTTTCATTTTCTGTTTTTTTTTTTTTGTGTGTTTGGTCTTCTTCAAGATTCTCCAAAATGGTCCAGGGTTTACCACCATTTTATTTCTTCCCTTTTGCTTTTTCTTTGGGTTTTCTTGTGCAATGTTTTTTTTTTTAATTTTCTTATAAGACAATATGTTTTCTCTCTTTCTTAGATTGCATGTATGTTTAGCTCCATCTCAAAGCGGAACTTTGGACTCGATTTTTTTTATTTTTTTCCTTAGTTTTTCTAGTTTAGTGGATTTACTGCCATTTTTTTTCTATGTTTAAGGTCACTTTGGATTTATCTTTCAACGTTTTGGAATCCCTTGCAATGTCCACCCTTCCCATGACTATGACTAAAAAGTTATTTCATCTAATTATTGACATCTAGAAAAAACGACTTGGAAATGGAACCGTTCTGTCACCAGTTTCTAGGTCAACGGTTTGACCATCTGGTTCAAATGGATGGGTTGTTCTGGCAACAAAAATTAAAAAATAAAAAAAATAATTAAAAATAAGAAATGGCCAAAAATCGTTGAGCGGGTCGACAGGTCGATGGTTCGACCGCCTGGGTCAACGGGTCATTAACTGATTCAATGATTTTTGGTCAGGGACTAGGGTTGGGGTAAAACAGAACCAGTTGCTTGGACGATTCCCAGGCTGAACGGTCCTACCATCCAAGTCAACTACGAGTTCTCGTTGTGAAACAAAGGATAACTATGAAGTAGAACTTAAAACTATCACTGTATGACCATGTTCTTTTATATGAAATGCTTTGCTAAAGCAATATTTAAAAAACGAGCACATGATGATCTCTTTTAAGTCTTTATACTAGCAGGGACCGGTGCAGTGCACGGGGTTTGGTAAAAAAGGTGAAATAATGCATTTATAAATACTTATAATTAAATATTGTAATTAAGAATATTAATTAATTAATACAGTTAAATATTAAAAATTATGAAAACTAATGCAATTATAAATACTTCTAATTAAATATTGTAATTAATAATGTTAATTAACTAATATTGCATTTTTATAATACTGTATTACAATCACATATTAATATTATACTGTAATTAACTATATATAAAAATACTGCAATTAATTAATTATATACTATATTAATTAATATTGAATTATTAATAAATGAAATACCGTATTTAGTTGATTGTAATTTATCATTAATTAACAGTAATTAAATTACATTTTGCATTAATTAATAGTTATTAATTAAATGAAATACTATATTATTCTAATACTATTATTAGTTATTAATTATTATTATTATTACTAATTTTCTTTTAGGGATATAAAATTGCAACAACAAATTGAAAATAGCAGAATAACATTTAATTACACATCAATCACATAAATAACATAAATATTCGAAACATTTTCAAATAGATGGCAACATAAGAAAACACAAAGTATCTAACAGAATTACAACAAGTTGAAAACACATCAATCACATAAATAAAACAAACATTTTCAAATAGATGGCAACAACAAAAACAAAAATAATCTACACCATTTTCAAATAAATAAACCAAGCATTTTAAACACAAAATGTTAATAAATAAATGCTGTAATTAATAATGTTAATTGAATAATACTGTTAATTGTTAAAAATATTGTCATTATGAAAAAATACTATTAATTAATAATACTATTTTTCAATAAATACTATAATCATTAAATTACTGTATTTATTTAAACTACATTAATTTTTGGAAATTATCATATTTTTAGAAATATATTGGTAATTTCTTGGCTAAAACTAATTAAATGTAATTTTTTGGTAATTACAGTTTAAAAATAATTTAGTTACAGCTTAAAAATAAATACTGTGAATTATATTACTGTTAATTAATAATTAGTGTTAATTAACTACTATTAATTAATGTTAAATGTAATTAAGTGTAATTTTCTGGTAATTAAATGTAATTTTATGCTATTCATAGCTTAACTTATAATCACTATTAATTATAGTTTAAAAATCATTTATAGCTTGTAATTTTATGCTATTTATAGCATAATAGACATCACTAATATATTTTACATTATTTATAGCATAATAGCAAAAAGTTACATTTAATTACATTTTCAATATTTTGAAATATTAACAGTATTTGTATAATTGATGGATATTTTTATTATGTTTTGGTTACTTATGCTAAATTATATCACTAAATTACATTTAATACTGCATTTCAGTAAATACTGTAATTATGAAAATACCAAATTATTAATAATACTGTAAAAATAATTACTGTTAATTAATACTATTTTTTATAAATATTGTTAATTAAAAATACTGTATTTATTGAGAATACTGTTAATTATTAACAATATTGTAATTATGAAAAATTCTATTAATTATGAAAATTATCCTATTTTCAGAAATATATTGGTAATTTCTTGGCTAAAACTAATTAAATGTAGTTTTCTGCTAATTACTGTTTGAAAATAGTTTAGTTACAGCTTAAAAATAAATACCGTGAATTATATTACTGTTAATTAATCATTAGTGTTAATTAATTACTATTAATTAATGTTAAATGTAATTTTCTAGTAATTAAATGTAATTTTATGCTATTTGTAGCTTAACTTATAATTACTGTTAATTACAGTTTAAAAATCATTTATAGTTTGTAATTTGATGCTATTTATAGCTTAATTTATAATTACTGTTAATTAATGTTAAATCTAATTAAATGTAATTTTATGCTATTTTAAATGTAATTAAAAATAATTAGTGTTAATTGCTATTAATTAAAAAATATATTATTTTTTAAAAAATAATGTATTTATTAATCAAAAAATATATTATTTTTTAAAAAATTATGTATTTATTAATTACTGTTAAATGTAATTACTTTGAGTTACAGTTTAAAAATAATTACATTATTTATTAATATTGATTTTCAGTAAATATTGTAATTATTAAAATACTAAACTATTAATAATACTGTAATTATTAAATTACTGTATTTATTGAAAAAATATAATTACTGTTAAATACTGTTGAAAAATAATTATTTAGTTACAGTTAAAAATATAAAAATATATTTATAAATAATTATTGAAAGCATATTTATAAAAAACAATAAATAATGACTGAAAATAAAATAAATATTAATTATAGTATATATAAATATATAATGAATATACACTATTATGGTAAAATTATTACTAATAAATATAATTTTGTTGATACTTATTTTCTATAATTATTAATTGACATAAGTGAAATTAGTTACTTACAATATTATTTAGTTATTGAAACAATATTGTTATTTAAATTCTTAAAATATTAAATGTTTATTGAATTTAATAATCCAAAAAATTATAATTTTACTATTATTACATAATTCTTTATTAATTTTATAAAATATTAAATTATTATTAATATGAATATTATGAATTCTATTATAATTATTTTTCTACCTTTAAGATTTTTTCTAATTTATTACATAATTTCGTTATTTTAACTATTTAAAATTTTGCATGTTAAATATTGTGTTATTTAAATATTTAAATAATATGTAAAATATTTAAAAATTTTCATTATTTGAATTTTATTTATTTTAATGTTATTACGTAATATTAAATATTTTGTTATATTATTTAGCTATTTTAATGTTTTATTTAAGATTTTTAGTTTTTAAAATATTTAATTAATGTTTTATTTTTTAATGTTAAATTTTTATTACTTGAATAACATTTAAATTGAATAATTCATAAAATTATAATTTATATTTTTACTACATAATTTCATGATGAATTTTGTAAAAATATTGAATTACTAATAATATCGATATTATTAAATCTATTAATTTTTTATGTTTTAAATAAATATTTTAAATTGAGTATATAATTTTGTTTATAACATTTAAATTATTCTGTATTTTTTTAATTGAAAATTTCTTTGGATAGATATAGATAAAAAGTGGGGGAGAGGATAAATAGGAATTAGAGATTGTTTAGGAGAGAATCTCTCTACTGAATTGGAGATAATTTAAGAGATAAATAGGAGTTTGAGATAATTTAAGAGATAAATAGGAATTAGAGACAATTTAGGAGGAAGTGGTGCCACTTGGCTAAACATTAGAAAAGTAAATTTCTCTTTCTTTATGGTTGTAAGAAATAGTTAAGTATACATGATTTCCTTATTGGTTTAATGGATAATTATGTGGAATTAAAAAATAAGAAAAAAAATTAGAATGAGGGGGTTTCATGCAATTTTAATATATATATATATAGATGAGTTTCAAAACTTGATTAATTATAATTGCAAGTTTCTTATTAAGAAACCAATGCAATTCCAATCCTGTAACTCTGCTAGTAAACTCTGCTAGTAATTTATTGGTTTGGTTTGATTTCTTATCCAAGTTATAGCTTTCAACGGTGCCCAGTGGGACTCTTGCATCCAAACTGGCTAATTAGCAGATGGGCGCATGTTAGCAGTATTCATGTCAATTGTCTATTATGCGCTGGATTTCCCAACGGCCCTTTTCTCCTCTGTTCTCCCAAACCTGAACGGCTGAACACCTTTACAAGCTCCCCCGAAGCAATTAAATTCTGCCGGAGATTCCTTTCCGGCCTTTTCCGAAGGTCAAGGAATATAAAAGTCCCCATTTTCTCCATTCGAAGCAATCTCTGCTTCGTTGTTTAAATAGAAAACCCTTCTTAATTCCACCTTTTTCGAGACTGTTCCTGTCCAAGGTAAGGCTAGATCTCATCTGATTCTTTAATTTCTAAGGTTTTCTTATCCTGGGATCGTTATAAACTGCTTACCGGGAGTGGGTTCATCGTTAATCTTGGCGGTACATCAGGGGAGTTTCTTCAATCTTTGATAAGAAGGGGTTTCTTGTCCGGTGGGTTTTGTTAGAAAACCGGTATAATTTCATTAGTTGGATGCTGAGGAGAGTTGGTGGTGGAATATAGAGTTTGGATTTGATGGATGTGGATGGCTCTGGTGGAGAAGCTCAATCTATCACGGCTCTTTCCAGGCGACAGAAAGGTATGATGCAATCTCCAAAACTTATTTCTGATTCTAGTTTTCTTATTTGAATCAATCATCTCTAGTGGTTAATCTTTGTTAACGGATGCTTCCTAGAAGGATTTGGAATTATAGACATTGGTGTCAACTAAAACAACAAAAAGACCCTGTTTTTGTTTATTAAAAGACTAAGATCAGTTCTTTGGGTTGGAGTGATGAAAAATATGTGACAAAATAATAGATAAGATCAATGGGTTATTCTATAAAGTGTTATTCGGTATTAGCATGAAGTTTATAGAATTTATGAACTCAATTTGTTGATTGGTCAGTGGTGTGGTGTCCTATTTCCTGTGACAACGGATGAGACCCTGTCTTGGGCTGAAGTTCAGCACGAGCATGTTAGTGTGCTTCTCATTATGATACTAGAAATACTAGATCTATATTTAGTTAGAGGCCTGATCATTACACCCTAGAACAGTTTGTTCTAACTGAATATGTTCTTTCTTCATCTCATGATATTTTTGAAGGTAAAGTATAATTTGTACTTATTTCATAAAGGGTTTAAGGTGTCTGGGTGCATTGCCCATGATTGGGAGATATAAAATGGTTCAATATTTTGCCAAAACTAAAGAAGTATAGCTAATTGTCTTACACATAGAAATCTTCTAAATGGGAAAGTATTGAAGGATAAACTTCCTGACCTTCATGTGAGTTGACAGCCATAAGAACACCACCCTGGATTTTGCATATTATGGTGAAATGACTAGTCTCCATTTACTTTCTCTTTCTTGTTTAAATGCTCTACTTTCCAACTGTGGAAGCTTGTCCACCATGGACTGATGATTGAGGAAGACCAGCTTACTTGAGAGCTTCAAAGAATTATCACCATAGTTGAAATTACAATGAAGCAATAGGTGGTTTGCCACGTCAGGTATTTTACACAATTGAGTGGTTTGCATTTGTTGTCCAAGTGATCTGTTACAAGTTGAAGGGTCTAGAAGTGCTAGGGGGGATGCTAGAAAGAACATGGGTTAAAGTAATGAAAAATGATTTATGGCCCATGATTTTTTTTTTTTTTTTGTTTTTTGAAGGAGAATAACAAGAAGATATGTTATATAACAATTAACAAAAAGAGGATTTACAGACAATGGGAACACTTTCCCAATCAGAATTCAGGGGCAATATTCCTGCTATACAAATCAGCTCTGTGCACACAGGATTTAGCTAAGCTGTCTGCAAAAGCATCATGCTCCCAATGAGTCCAAAAACATGACACATAGGTCTCTAGCCTCCATCGAGTAATAATTCAAAACCCAGGGGCCCCTTTGATTATCAGTTAACCATTTTATGACAATTGCAGAGTTGCCGACTACTGAGAAAGAAGATAGACCGAAAGTTCTTGCAATACACAAGCTTGAGATCAACAAGGAGCTCTGCTTTCACAGAGCTGGATTCACCTATTGGACCACTGTAAACCCAAATTATCTCGCCCCTCAAAGAATAATCTAAACTCTTTCGAGTTTCAGCACAAAGGTCTGAGCTGATGCTGCACCACTGGAGAAGAAGATAAGAGTTATGATAAGTTTCTGTCAAGGTCAATCCAACAGAAGCCAGCAAACTCCCTACAGATTGAGGCCCAGGATTTGCACAGATTGGTAATTCTAGATTGAATTTTCTGAGGCAACCTGAACCTATTTTCAAAGATTCTAAGCTAAGATTCCTCTCTTCCCAAATTCCCCATATAACTCCTCGAGGGATAAGATTCCAGAAAACTTTTCCCCTTTTACCCAAGTCCCCACACCTCCCAAAAAACATCAAGAATGTGCCGGGGGGGGGGGGGTGACCCAAGAGAGGCCAACCAGAGAAAAAATTGCCAGACTTTCCTACTTGTGTTGCAATGGAGCAATAAGCAATCTGTTGTTTCACCAACTTGCATGCAAAGTACACAAACATGAAGGGAGAGATAAAACGACCTCTTCTTTTCCTCTGTCTAAGATCACAAGTTTTTATTCTTCCCAAGCAAGCTTCCCATGCGAAAACACAAATTTTGAGTGGGACCCTTTGGTTCTCAAGCTTCTTGACAGGGAAAGGAAAATTCTGGACCTGTGAGGAAGTCTCTGAAGATACATTTCCAGCAGAACGCATCTAGCAAAAAGAATTAGTTGAGAACAAACCAGAAGGGTGCTCCAACAAGACTCTACTATCTGGTTTATTTGGAGAAATGTAAACCTCAGAAAGAGAGGATTGAAGGTTAGAAAGTTCTTGAGATTCCAAGTCTCTGAGGGGTCTATGCCAAGTGAAGTTCCAGGAAGAAGGCAAGAGAAGAAGAAAAGTTGGAAATGAGAGCTTTGGGGGTGAGGGGTAGTCTAAACAAATGAGGGAACTGAAGACAAAGGGGTCTATCTCCCCACTAGAGGTCTGTCTAAAATTTAATGTGGACACTATTGCCAACAAAGTACCTAATGTCGGAGATAAAAAGGGGGTAAATAGTGATGATACCTTTCCAGGGAGACCCAGAGTGGGGATTGGGGGTGCAGAGGTTATTGTCCCACCTATGTGCAGTCCAAACTTGCTGATGATGACTAAGGTCCACATGCTGCCTTGTTCAATGCAAAACCTCTAGAGCCACTTCCCTAACAGCACAATGTTCCTAATCTTCAACTTCCAAATACCCAATCTCCCCTTCTCCTTTGAGCTATAGACATGATCCCAATTCACACAATGCTATCCTTTGTTGTTCCCTCCTCATAGAAAATCCCTTTGGAGTTACTCAATTTTTAAGATGACCTTTGCTGGGGCCTTAAACATTTAGAGGAAATATGTGGGAAGGTTAACCAACATTTATTTTAACAAAATGAGTCTGCCCCCTTTTGAAAGATAGTTCAACTTCCAACTAGCTAACCTCTTCTCACATTTGCTGATCACTGGATTCCAGAACTGAATGCGACTTGGGTTCTCACCCAAAGGAAAACCTAGGTAGGAGATAGGCCAAGATTCAATGCGGCAGCCTAGCAACTCTGCCAAAGAATTTAGAACACTTCATCTGTTATATTAATGCCCACCATACTACTCTTCAATAAATTGATCCGAAGGCCTGTAACAGCTTCAAAGCAAAAAAAGAGTAACTTCAGATTCTCCAACCCCTCTGGTATCTGCCTCAAGGAATAACAGGGACAGGGTGTCACCCGCATACTGTAAGTGATTTACTTCAACTCTATCTCTGACCAAAGCCTAGCAGATTCCAGTCAGATGCCTTCCTTAAGAAATAACTTAAAATGTCTGCCACTAAGGTAAACAAAAATGGAAACAAAGGACAGCCTTGCTTGATTCCCCTTGAGGCTCTAAAATAACCTTTTGACTCTCCATTAAGCAAAACAGAGAACCACGTGTTCTTGATGCAACTCATCATCAGTTTAATCCACTTATCTCTGAAATTTTTTAACTTAAGAATGGAAGCCATGGAACTCTAGTTCACTCTATCATATGCCTTTTCTAAATCTAGCTTAATCACCACACCAGTTCTGTTGCTACTTTTTCCATCTTCTACACATTCATTTGCAATCAAGATGCCATCCACTATTTGTCTTCCCCTTATAAACACACATTGGTTCGAATCAATAACTGATCCTAGCACCATTTTTAATCATTCCTCTAGGACTTTAGGAATCACCTTATACAAACTGGTTGTTAGACTTATCAACCTGTAGCCCTTGACTTCTAGGGCTCCTCCCTTCTTGGGAACTAAGGAGATGAAAGTGGAATTAGTTCCCTTGTTGATGATATAAGAGTGGTAGAAGTCGGGAAACACCTCTAAGAAGTCTTCTTTCAAAGTCTTCGAGCACACTTGAAAGATAATGATGGGGAAGTCATCTGGCCTAGGAGCTTTGTCCCCGTCCAAGCTAAAAACTGCACTTTTCACTTCCTTTTCTTCAAAGGACCTTTCCAGCCATATTCGCTTCTCCTCAGAGAGGGTGGGACCATCCCATCTACTTAGAGTTCACCTCTAATTACTATCCATAGTTTTCAAGGCACCAAGGCGAGGCTAGGCGACAGGGGGGTGCCTAGGCGTTGCCTAGGCGATGGATTTTTTATGTTAGAAACATAGATCCTAGGGTAGTTCCCTAGGTACCATAACCATATTTCTTCAATAATTATTCATGATTTTCATAAGAAAAGTATAAATTTCATACTAAAGTATAGAAAATCAACATATTCATGAGAAGAAAAGGAAGAAGGAAAATAGAATTAAAAAAATATAGGGGCT